ACATAAAAGAACACATACTGGAGAGAAACCCTATGAATGTAATCAATGTGGTAAAGCCTTTACACTTCCCTCTAATCTCCAAATACATAAAAGAATACACACTGGAGAGAAACCCTATGATTGCAATCAATGTAGTAAAGCCTTTACACTTCCCTCTATTCTCCAAATACATAAAAGAACACATACTGGAGAGAAACCCTATGAATGTAATCAATGTGGTAAAGCCTTTGGACAGCACGGTCATCTTAAAAGGCATAAAAGAACACATACTGGAGAGAAACCCTATGAATGTAATCAATGTGGTAAAGCCTTTTCACAACACAGTTATCTCCAAATACATAAGAGAACACATACAGGAGAGAAACCCTATGAATGTAAGCAATGTGGTAAAGCCTTTTCACAACACGGGTATCTCCAAAAACACAAGAGAACACATACAGGAGAGGAAACCCTATGAATGTAAGCAATGTGGTAAAGCCTTTGTATGTTATAGTCATCTCCGAGTCCATAAAAGAACACATACAGGAGAGAAACCCTATGAATGTAATCAATGTGGTAAAGCCTTTGTATGCGGTAGTTATCTCCAAAGCCATAAAAGAACACATACTGGCGAGAAACCCTATGAATGTAATCAGTGTGGTAAAGCCTTTGCACGGCACAGTCATCTTCAAAAGCATAAAGGAACACATAATGGAGAGAAACCCTATAAATGTAATCAATGTGGCAAAGCCTTTCCAGATCACAGTCATCTTCAAAGGCATGAAAGAACTCACCAAAAAGGTTTCAAAGTAACTTATTATTATTCCTCTGTTTAAAGGAACATGTTTTATAATGACTATTTCTGTAATCAACAAACTATGTCTTCTGAAAAATAACTGGATTTTAAAAAGATGTAAAGTTTAAGGCTTAAGCTATATAGATTCAAAAAAGTACTTAAAGGTATAAAAAATGTTTTAAGTTATATAAGCATGAGTTTATATAGGGTTTGAGGACATAAAAGCACAACTTATGATAAAAATGATTTAAAATACATAAAAATAATAAAATGTTTCAAATGTCTTCCCCTTTCTCTGCTGTTTTTATTATATGAGACTTCAAAAATTCAGTTTTGACATTAATCAATAAAGCTCTGATAAGCTATTAATCTATCTCTGGTAAACACTTCCTATTATCATAGTAACAAACTCAATGTTTTAAAATCCCTTTGGTTATTTTCTAGGTATAGGGTTAAAAATATTTCTCATTATGCTATAGACATCTGCCAAATCTATATGCACCGAATCTTCTAGATAAAGGAAAAAATATTAATGCTTTTAACCAAAATCATTTTTAGGTTTCCAAACTTTTACTATGACTCAAAAACATGAGTCTACTGCCTTTTCTATAATATTCAAAAACATGAGTCTACTGCTTTTTCTATAATATAGATTTTAATACAGACTACAAACAGTAATATTT